GTGCCCTGACAGGAAGGTGAGCTCAGTTAAGGATAATATTCTAGTGCTCTTACCTTGTGCTTTGACTGTGGCTCTCTGGCTATGAAAATCTACCTTGCATCTACAAGCAGTTCACAGGACCAGGCATTTTCTGAGGCTGAGAAAACCTTACTTTCCTGACGACCTCCCATTACTATCAATGATTTTATTAGTTTTTAGGATTGTCTTTTTTTTTTTTTTTTGATTAAAGGTAACTTACTTGACTCAATCTTCTGTACTGTTATGGCTCCTGGCTGGCTTAGCAACTAGGCAGAAATTCCCCATGCATCCAGGCCAAACAAAAAAAAAAAAAGGGGGTGGGGAGAGGATAATGAGATCACTGAACCAGTTGATCCTGCCTTGTCTTTAATGATTAGGAAACAATTCTTCCCAAAAAGATTCCCAAGACATTCCCTGAGAATTATTTACCATAGTAGTATGGAACATCTTTCTAATATTAGCTTTTTAAATTCATAGACTTCAGTAAAAAAACTGACATTAAGTCATTTCTGAAGCATGAAAATAAACACTCTTCAGCTGCATACCACTACTTAAAAGGATTATTTGTGATGGATTGCAGCTTCTATAGTAAGAGAACTATCTGTACAAGCAATTTTACTATGTGTAAAGTAACTGAGTATGCCTAGAATTGTATATATTTAGAGAGAGATTTATTATGAGGCACATACTGTATATATACATTGTAGTTTATATATACACACATCTGTTCAAAACAGATTTCTCGCTAATTTTTTTTAAAAGAAAAATACAATAAAATACGTTGTCCTGGACACAAACAAAACCAGTTTTAAAATATTTTCCATAAATATTTTTGAAAGTGACATTAATAGCATAACATTTGCTGGTGATGTGACATTTCTATCAACTGTAAATATTTCCCAGTGGTTTGCCACTCCACTATACTGGTTCATATTCAGTTCAGACTAATACGACTTAAAAATTGCCACTTGATGCTTCCCTGATGATTCGGTAGGTCTAAATGCAGTTCCTTGAAGACTGAAGAATGGTACCATACATGGAGTGCATTCAGGGGCTGTTCTTTCAGTCTCTCTACCACCAGCTTCCCCAGATAGTACCTGTAAGCTAAGATAAAAGCGTAATAGCAGTGCTGAAGGAACAGGGTGGATTGTGCTGGTAGCTGCCCAGGCTGATTTTGTTTTGTGGATAAAGACACATCTCCATTCAACTGCCAAAGAGGTAATCATTGTTTTGGGCAGCCTCAATAGGGCCATAGCACACAGCAGACAAAAATAATTTTACAACAGTAGCTTCAGCAAGAAATATTTTATTTAGCAAATTCTACAACTTTGAAAATATTAGGTCTTATTGCCCTGAGGAATGCAAGCAATGGGAAATTATGGAGCAGATCTGTGTGAATCTTTCCAAAACTCACTGCATAAGTTAAAAGCAGTTTCTGTGGCCAGGAGGCTCCAAAAGTTCAGGCTTCAGTGAGCCCAGTTCTTTTCCTTATCAAATCTTACTGCAAATGCAAGTTGAAGTCAACACATTTATCAATATTTACACATGGAGGCAGTCACCTAAATTGCTCCACATATGCCATATGGATAAACACTGTTAAAACTCCATTAAAATAGCTATATCAAGGAAGTATTTGCAGTACACAACAACGAATTTTAAAACCCACAAAGCATATTATATATTCTTAAGCCCCACCTGTAGCCAGGTTATTTATGCATAGGTATACAACACTTAATAAGCAGAGTCTGCCCCTTCTAGGTCATGTTTACCCAGGCTCCATGTTACACCTGGGGGCAACACTGCAAGGCATGACTTGCTCATTTGTTCCTGCCTCATGTGAAGCAATTCCTAAAAAAGCCTTAAACTAGTGACGAGTAAATTCCCAGCACTGCTCTTGGGATCTCTACTTCAGGTCAGTGCTAGTCTCAGGCAGCTGCCTCATTTCTAGGATTTTTAGTACGTGGAGTAGGAGTACATAGGTGAGCTTTATAGCAGCATCTTGGATACAGCCTAGATAATGTAGACATGCCTCTTACTTCAGGCTCCCAAGGCCTTGCATTTTCTAGTCTTGCCTGGTTTCTTGCTATAATCTATTTTCTTCATGTTTTCTACGCTGTCCCAGAAACTGCAGGCATTTCCAAAGGATTCTTTCCCTCTCCCAAGTCCTGTTATTTCCTCTTAGGCCTCTGTTTCTGTTCAAAATGCTGCAGAGCATTTTTATTTGATTTTTCAGCAAAACACAGCCAATCCATGACAAACATACGTCAATAAAAGAAAAGCAAAAATATTTATTACAGAACATTTGAGAAGTTTCTGATTGCTTTGACATAGTGCAGGTATCTCACAGTAGCTTGGGGACTAGATTAGCTGGTCTAATATAAACAGCATAGGCCAGACCTCTGGCAACATGATTTTTTAACAATAAATAGCTTAATACATCTTATACTTCTTCAGACCACATTCCTAAAGGCATTTAGGTGCTCACTCCTCACTAAAAATCAATGGAATTAAAAAGGTCTTTTTTTTCTTTTTATTTAACTCTTTGGCTAGAGCTTATTTAAAACAGCTTTGAAATGTATTAGCCATAAGATGCAATATATTTCCAAAACTTATAGTCATTAGATCTTTACAGTAGAGCTGCAAATACTTCCCAAATCAAATAGGTGATGGGTTTCTGTTTGGATCTGTGATTTGCCATTGTATGCACAACAGCAGCTTATAAGCAAGCAAGCAAGTGAATGAGAATGTGTGCAAACACTCATGGGGCATATCCAGATGAGTGTGGATGTTTGGTTCTCTGGGGACAAGCAGCAATGGTGTACCTTGTGCTGCCACTACTTGTACCCAAGGAGCGCCTGTGCCACGTGCTCTTTGGTGTGCAGCAAATTATCCTGGTCATGGGAGGCTGGGTCTAACACTATGCTGGCCCCAGCAGCTTTACTTGGGCTCCTGGGGGCCTCCCAGGGCTGCAGCAGCAGCAATTTTGCTGCATGGAGCCTGGCTAGTAGCTGCAGCACGGCTCCAAGGGGCCCAGCTCCGCTTTTGTGTGCTCTTCCCTACAGGGAGATTTTCCTGGCAATTTATTCAGCTTGTACCATTTTTTAAAATCATTTGCTGTTTCAGTCATCATGAAGATCTTTCAGATACAGTAAAAAATGGGCTGTCCTCTTGCAGTGAATGAGCATCCTGAGTGTAGGACACATTTGGTCAGGCTCACAGGGCAGAATGTGTGTGAAGCCAATCAAGGGTAAAATTGAAATTGGCCTCTGATTTCTGCTTACATGCAATTTCTTGCTTCTACCTTAAAAATGAAAGGGTTGATTCAGATTTTTTTTTAATTTTTCAAAGAATTTCTAGCTAGTTTACCAAGAACATAGTTTTTATTTTTACTGTACAGTAATACTTGCAGACACTTTGATTTCTTGGAATAGCAAGAAAGAGACATGTGATGGGTTTTCCACAAAAGGAAGTGAAGGGAATACTGAATAGCTAAAACATTTTTGAACTGTGCATCCTATTAAAGCTGACCGGCATCTAAATACAAAGGGGGCAGAGCATGAAGAAGGAGACACAAAACCCCTAGATGGACCCTGGCCCTTCTCCCATGGTTTCAGAAAGTCGACTGAGATAAGGGGAGATTTTCACTATCTTAAAATGGCTTCAAGTTCCCTTCTATTATAAGAACACTATAGGAAAAAACAAAAAAAGAATGGGGCCAGTTGGGAGGTGGTAAACTAGAGCAACCAGAGGATAAACTATAATTCAGTGAATTTCCATGGCCACCTTGTGGAAAGTGTTCTTAAAAATACATGAAGATACCCTAAGTTAGACAGAAGGAATATTTATAATTAAGCATGTCTTCATTGAAATATGCTTTTCACTGTAGCTGAAATATTTTCTGAGGCTGTACTGGCTTCCTTCCCGTAGTAGGGTGCCCAGACTGGATGCAGTACTTCAGCTCCGGCCTCACCAGTGCTGAACAGAGGGGAATAATCACTTCCCTTGATCTGCTGGCCATGCTCCTACCAATGCAGCTCGGTATGCCATTCTCCTTCTTGGCAACAAGGACACACTGTGTGCATCTACACATTAATTAATGCACAGTAGTTACTTTGCATTTAGTTTATTACTTCCTTAATAAAATACAGTTTGAACAGTAGTGCCAGCACATGTTTTTTTGTGATGATTACTGTGAAGTAGCCTAATAACATTGTGCAATAGCTTATTAGCATGGTTTTTGACTGGCATGTTGCTGCGTAGTGTTATTAGGCTACCATGCAGTAAGTGTCTCATGTAGATGCAACCACTGTTAATTCATATTCAGTTTATTGTCCACTGCAAGCCCCAGGTCCTTAGCCAGTCAGTCCCCAGCCTAAACCATTCCATAGGATTGTTCTGCAGGACTTTGCATTTGTCCTTATTGAACCCCATGAGATTTTTTTTGGTCCAGCCCTTCAATTTGTTGCAGTCTCTCTGAATTCTAGTCCTACCCTCCAGCTTGGTGTCATCTGCAAACGTGTTGATGGTTCACTCCTTCCCATCTTCCAGATCACTGATGAAGATATTGAACAAAACTGGCCCAGGACTGACCCCTGGGGCACTCTCCTTGATACTGGCTGCCAACTAGACATTGAGCCATTAATTGGGCCCAATGATCCAGCCAATTTTCTATCCACCTTACAGTTCACTCATCCAACCCATACTTTGTTAGCTTGTTTGCAAGAATGTTGCAGAAGAACATATCAAAAGCCTTGCTAAAGTCAAGGTATATCATGCCCGCTGCTCTCCCTGGGTCCACAGAACCAGTCACCTCATCACAGAAGGCAATCAGGTTGGTCAGCCATGACTTGCCTTTGGTGATCCATGCTCACTGTTCCTAAGGACTTTCTTCTCCTCCAAGTGCTTAGAAATGGATTCTCCCTCCATGTTCACTTTAGCTAAGAGAGCAGGGATGTAAGAGACCAGACATATAGTCACAAAAGTTCTCTTATAGGAATTGTGAAAAAACAATTAAACAACAGCACATAAGCCCAGTCTGCAACAGTCAATATTATACACCCCCAAACCAGCCATCTTAACACAGACTTCCTTCTCTCCTTATTTCAGAAGTTGGTTGATTGATTTATGTGCCTTATTCTCCCACACAGCTAGATGGAAACAGACCACAAAATGACGCTGGACTCTGTTCAGGGGAGGACTGGCAGTCGGAAAGACTCAAATTGCCTCTTACTGCCAAGGAAGTTGGTCTCCTCGCATCAGATTTAAGGAAATTGACAAACCATTGGCAGGAAGTTAATCACTGTGGCTGCCCACACTTAGTCTAAATGCTGTGGATTTTCTTGATTCATTTTCCAAGACTCTTTGTTTCTTGGCTGAGCTCTGCTAGGCATGTGGCCTCTGAGGCAGATGAGAATTAATATAGTTCTGTCTCTAGAGGTAGAGTAAGAAAAGGGAAGTAAAGTGAACTTAGCTATCGCTATCATCCCTGCTCAGCTATCAATTTTTTTCCATACAGCCAGATGGCTACAACACAAGCTTTAACCATATTGCCTCAGCACAGTGCTAGAATGACCATATGCATGGGTGAGAAGGGATTTATGCCTCAACACTCATAACAGGACAAATAATTCTTATCTAGCTGGCTTTTTATCAAAGGATCTTAAAATGTTTGCCAGTTTGGATAGGCGGCATTGTTCCGTTTTTGCAGAGAGGGAGAACAGAAGGCACAGGTCATATAGCAAACCAGTGATGAACTGAATCTGCAGGTCCTGTGTCCCCTGCTTGCAATTTAAGCAAATCGTGCCAGCTCCCAGATCCTGCATTATACTTTGACTTGCTGCTAGTATGAATGCCAATTAGCATTAGGTTTTATAACATGGATACTTTGCTTGCTTTATGAAAGCCACTAGTGATATTTTAAGTCACTACTTCACCAGATTCAAGCTGGCAGTTTGCAAGGAATAGACATCAGATTTCATTACTAACCCCCATAACTACTAAGTACCAGACAGGACTGGTTTAACTATTTAAACCAGGACAGGACTGATTTAACTCTAGACATATAGTCCCTGCTTGTTTTAATTTGCTCATTAATTAGCATAAGGGTGCACACCACCTACTGATTACTGTTTTCCATGAAGAGAAATATAATTATTAGAGGTATTTTACTGAACTGAAGAAAGGATACAACTCGAGGTCTTAATGTGCTACAATTTGCCCTATGTTTATTTTGTTGTTAACTTCAGTGGGGCTGAAGTTGTATACATAACTCTAGTGATAGTGTCCGAGGCAGACCCAATGCTTTAATGCTCCATTAATCCTATTTAATAGTGTTAGAGAGAAAACCTCATTAGAGTTTTCATGTATTTACAGTTTAAAGCAACATGGAACCAACAAATCACCTGATATGACTTCTTGTACATAACATACCGCTAAGATTCACCTAGTTATCTCTGTATGGAGCCCAATAACTTGTGCTTGTGTAACAAATTTCCTGCAAAAAAGCATCCAATTCTTCATTTGATGACAACGATAGTGAATTCATATTAACCCTGTTACATTGTTCCAATGGTTAACATACCTTACAGATAAAATTTTCAACTGGGATGTGCCTGCTTCATCTTCTAGACATTGGGCATCTTTACATGCGCTCTGGGGTGGGTTGGGAGGTATACTTTAATTAGAGTTGCTCTTGGAAGATACTCTAATTAAAACACCTATAGCATCACATGTATTCAGCACCTTGCACTTCAAAACGGTGGTGGGCTGCTTCAACTAAAGCTCATTTGACAAGCTTTAAGTTAGAGCCCCCTTCATTAGCACACACTGGAGCAGGCATCTGGCATGTGTGTAGGTTTTTGTTGTTCCTCCCTTCACTAGATTAAAAGACCTTAATACATTTTCTCTCTAGAAAGGTAACTTCTACACTGTAATTGAATCACTTCTCAATCTTCTTTCTGAGGAGCTGAACAGATTGAGATCTTTAAGTCTGTCATTGAAAGAAATTATCTCACGTCCTCAAATCATTTATGTGGATGGTTCCTCTAGTCTTCTGCTCCTCCCCTGCCCCCAATCCCCCTTTTAAAAAAAAAGAATGTGGGCACCAAAACAGAATACAATTGTTCAGATACAGCCTTATCAGTACCAAATGCTCATACACAGAAAATCCCCTCCCTAGTCCTCTTCACTAATTACTGGCTAGAGATTCAAGCATTGCAATAACCCCTTCTCTTCTTTAAGCTATATTACTTTTCCACTATGATGCTTGCTACTTTTCAGCACACAGTTCTTCATTCTGCAGGTATGACCTGCATTTCTTGTGCCTAGATTTATAAGATCTAAACTTAACTGTATTAAACATTTTGTTTGAATGGCCTCCACTTCCCAAGTTATGCAGATCACTCTGTATGGCTCCCCTGACTTCATCAGTATTCCCCACATTGCCGATCTTGGCATCATCATCTGTAAGTTTTCATCAGCAGTGATTTTATATTTACTTTCAGATTATTGACAAAAATGCTGTTCTACCTGATACATGGTCTGCACCATGGACCACACGTTGTTTTAGGTAGACAATTATAATTGTACAAGATGCTGTGCTGGAGTTCTCTTGTCATTGTATTTGGTTATTAGGGTATTTGCTTACATTTTTGTAAGACAACACATAGGCAGAATTAAGGCTACAGAAAACATCAAAACTAAGTAATGAATAAAAATCCCGCAAAAGACAAAATGCTTTAGCACATTACAAAGAATCTTCACTTCCATTACCCAGTTGGATTTCCTTTATATCTTTTACTGTAGAGTCAATAACAGAGTAACACTGGCTCCATCAGGTGAGCGATTTATTAGCTGAGAGATGAGCTGGATTGCTTTTACAAGGGAAAAGAATGCTTAGAGTCAAGCTGTAAGTTAGAAAAATGTTTCATTTCAGAACTGTCTGATCAAATTGCTTCCATTTGAAATGTTAACTAACTGTGACTAATAGAATACGGATTCTAGGAAGAAAGACTAAGCATAAATCGAAACTGCATTCTCTCCAAAGCCTAGCGACTTTATCCAGTGTTCACGTTTATTAGTTATATCAAGGAAGTTGCTCTTTAGGAGAATTTCTTTTGTTAAGAGCATGCTGAGGCTGAAATAGTTAAGTAAAGTGCATTTATAAACATTGCCAATCTTCCTCTGCAATTCTGTATGGTTGGAGTGAATAGACAAATAAGGGTATGGGGGAGTAAGAACCAATAGGGTCTTAAAATGTTCATGTTGTACTGAAGTGTCTTAACAGTTCATTTACAGATTTATACAAATTAAACATGGAAAAGTCTCATCTTTCACCGACTTGGGATTGGCAGAACAGTAGTGAGTTATTTACTGAAGAGAGAGAGATTGCCTCAACCACTATATGGAGATTCAGTACTCTTGAGACTAAAAAACAGTAGTCATTCTACTTCAGTATTCCTACAATAGTTTCTTACAAAGAGAAGATTAATTTAGAGCTTGTATATATAGTACATGAATTAACCTAGTTATAGCAGAACAACTATAACACTGCATGGCCACTCTATTCTGATCTAATAATGACTTCATTTGGGAACTATTACTCCTCTTCCAAAATCGTCACTTTTATTCCAGCATAGAGTATCACAATGGAGGATTTAATACCAGAATACCTACCATGGAATTGCTGATTTCCAGTCAATGTTCCTGGGTTAGACAAGCTCTAAATGTTTTATTTTGTAGCCTTGTTTCAGGCTGTCCATGACACTTTGTTTGAGTGGACCCAGAGGGTGGTGGTTGATGGAAGTCAATTGTCATGGTGCGCTGTGACCAGTGGGGTCCCTCAAGGCTCTGTCTTAGGGCCTATCCTTTTTAACACCTTCATCAATGTTGTAGACACTGGTGTCAGAAGTGGGCTGGCCAAGTTCGCCCATGACACCAAACTCTAGGGCAAAGCATCCACACCTGAGGACAGGAGGGTGATCCAGGCAGATCTTGACAGCCTCATGAAATGGGCGGATGAGAACCTGATGGTGTTTAACACTGAAAAATGCAAGGTTCTCCACCTTGGGAGGAAAAACCTGCAGCATCCTTATAGGCTTGGCAGTGCTACGCTGGTTAGCACTACATATGAAAGAGACTTGGGGGTCATGAACCACAAGATGAACATGAGCCTTCAGTGTGATGCTGTGGCTAGTAAAGTGAGCAAAACACTGGCTTGCATCCATAGCTGCTTCTCAAGCAAATCCCAGGATGTCATTCTCCCATTGTACTTGGCCTTGGTGAGGCTGCAGCTGGAGTACTGAACCCAGTTTTGGGCTCCACAATTCAAAAAGGATGTGGAGAATCTCAAGAGAGTCCAGAGAAGAGCCACGCGCATGATCAGAGGTCAGGAAAACAGACCTTATGGTGAGAGGCTGAGAGCCGTGGGAGTCTTCAGCCTGGAAAAGCTCAGACTCAGGGGTGATCTGATGGCCACCTATAAGTTTATCAGGGGTGCTCACCAGGATCTGAGGGAACATTTGTTCACCAGAGCACCCCAAGGGAGGACAAGGTCAAACAGTCACGAACTCCACTGCGACCGATTCAGGCTGGACATAAGGAAGAACTTCTTTACTGTCTGAGCCCCCAAGGTTTGGAATAGACTGCCACCAAAGGTGGTTCAAGCACCCACTTCAAACGCCTTCAAAACACATTTAGATGTTTATTTTGCTGGGATCCTATGATCCCTGCTGACTTCCTGCCCCTGGGACAGGAGCTGGACTCGATCCTTCGGGGTCCCTTCCAGCCCAAATGTCTATGAATCTTTCAAGAGACCATGTGGATTGCTTTTAACAAAGGGAGCAATAGGGAGAATCCCACACACATACCATATGTACACTGCCAAATAGCAGTGTCTGTCTTTTGTATTTTGCAATTACAAATGTGGCAAATAATAATAATAATAATAAAAATATCACTCAGATATACATTATCTACCCTGTGGCTAAACCAACTCATGAACAAGTTTAAGATGATGTTATGGTTGCTTGGTTAATGACTGAGAACTGAGGAAAATGCATACAATTTTAATTGATGTACAGATCTTACTGATTCATGTGGAACATTTATTAGACTCATGCTGAATGCAGACACTTCCTCATATCAGTAATAAGTTGTGTGCTGCTGAAAAATTTAGGCATTGGACATTTTTTTTTCATTTCAGCCATTCCCATATCTCTAGAACTTCTTTATTGTCTGAGCCCCCAAGGTCAGATTTCTCTTTCCCTAACTTTCTTTAGCTCCCTCAGTTCATTAGTCACTTTTCTGCATGTCCTGCAGACCTCAAGTACCCATCAAAATAATAGTGATATTAATAAACAGTAAAGTATAGCCCATATATTGCTTCTCAGCAATCAACCTCAAAGTGCTTCAGCAAAGGAGGTTGGCATCATTGTTGCTGTTCTACTGATAGGGAACCTAACGCACTAGGATGGAAATAAGTTGCAGAAGGTTACCCAGCCAGCAAGAGGCACAATTAGGTATGAAATCCAATCTCCAAGTCCCAGCTCTAACTTTTAGGCCAGATGATGAGCAGTTGCCTTGTTTTGGTGGCAGCAGAGAAATATTAATCACAGTCCTGCCTAAAGTCTGCAAGAAATAATCTTAAAAGTTTCAACTGAAGATTTCCCTCTGCCTTCTACTTAACTTCAGACTAACACAGCTAACTAAGTTTCTCTGCAATGGACAAAGTCAAATAGGTGACTATAGTGCTACCTCTCTTATGCTGTATTAACTTAGTCAGAAACAACCATGTGAAATGTTCTGAATTCATGCAAAAGTAAGGTTTTTTGAGGCTCGTACCTCAAAAAAAATCAACGTTCATGAGATTACTCAGAAGTGCTTCTGCACAATGGGGGTTAGTTTTAAGACAAGGTTTTACTTCCAGTCCTTGATCAGTCAACCTGTAGTTCTGATCAAAAACAGGCACAAAGAGCAGTGTGTGGATCTCCAGTTACCCTTGGTTGAAAGTCTAAGGGCTTCTCTACATACAGAAGTTAGGGAATAAGCTTAGATGTGAATTTGTAGAGCACTGACTTTTCATGTGGGCACACTTAGTATGTGTTCAGAGTGGTTCTATGCGGTATAACTTGGAGTACTAAAGGCTATTAATAGTGCATGTGTGGGAAGTTAACACATGGTAGCTAAAGCACTGTAAATTTACCCAGTGGCTTGCTGTGTAACTAACTGCATTGTGTACACAAGTTATAAATATGGAAAATGTCAGCCTGATAGGGGGAAATTTTCAGGTGTCTAAAACTTTAGATAACAGCAAGCGGCTAGAATGGAAACAGAGTTAGCTATCGTAATTGCTACTTTAACCAGTGTGAAGAGAATGGAGCTTTATGGTGCTGTGTCTGTGGAAATCCCAAGCAGGTCATACAGAAACATGTGCTTCATTCTTGTGCCATTGTCTATAGTCATCTTCTGGGTTAGAAGTAGTACTGACAGGAGTAACTGAATTCAAGAACAGCATCAGCCTTTGGGACATAAAACAACATAAATCAGTAACTGAGGAACTTACACAAAAATATATAATCTTACATATTTCTCTGGAGATTATTTGCAAGAATGTTAAATATTTCAGGGTTGTCAGTGATTTCTGAAGGTTTTCTGAGAGATTATCATCTTTCCTTGCTTTTAAATTTACTCATTTCTTTGGCACAATTGCTGAGTTGTATCCATTTGGACATTTCAACAGTTTCTCCTGGCCATATTTATATGGAAGTCTATTGGTTTCAAAAACAAGAAATCTTTTTTGATTTCCAAATTATAATAGCAATCTATTAATATAAATGAAGATGTAGATGTAGGTTTTAGGAGAAAAAGAACAATACAATTTAATTTAAGAGCCAAAGAGACTATGTACCTTATAGTGAGAATGTATCATGCATAAACAAAAAGGCTAGAGACAGACTTTCAAAAAGCCTGAGCCTGAATTGATGCAATCTTTGCAGGTTAGTCTAACCTGGGTAGGCTGAGCTGGTCTGTAACCAGACAGACATTCTCTCTGGACTGAGGAAATTCAGGCACATGCCTGCAGTGGCTCAGGCTAGAGGCCAGGGTGTTCTAGGGCAACCCTCCCTTCACTTCAATAGTGCTGAGCTGAGTGGGGCATGACCAGTCCCTGGCAGGAGTCTCTCATTAGAGAGGTCTGCCTGAACTGTCCCAGGCTTTTTCCCTGCTCGAAGGGTGGGAGTGTTGCCAGCCTCCAGCCCCAGGCTAGCATTCTGAGGCAATGGGGGGTGGGGTGCAGTGCATGCATCTGTTGATGATATGGAGCTTCTCAATCTCCCTCCCTCCCTTCCTTCATCATGCTGTCTGCAGCAAACTGACAGTAATAACAGTCTTTATCACCTGATTAGCAAAACAGTGGCCTCTTTCCATTACTTCACACTTCTTAAACTAGCTGACCTGTTGATTTAGCTCCAAACAGCCCTATGTAGTCACTGTTCTGCCTGCCTGCCTCAGTGAAATTGGAGACAGACACACACCTCTCTGCATTAGCTAGCATACCACATGTCTAGGGGCCATGGGGCTGGGGTCTGTGCTGTGGGAGATGGGAGGGAGGGAGAGAGAGAGGGATTTCCTGCTTGAGCAATAAGGGGAGGGGACGGGAGAGGTTAGGGTAGGAGTAGGCCAGAGAGACCCTGCTGTGTCTGCAGTCTCTGCTGGAGCCTTACACAGCATTAGCTAGCATATCACATGCTGGCCATGGTCCGTGCTATGGCAGAGAGAAGAAAGGGATCCCTGCTTAAGCAGTGAGGGGTGAGGGAGTAGGGGCAGGATGGCATGGGGAAGCCAGCAGACCCTGCTGTGCCTGCAGTCTCTGCTGGAGCTCTGGCCAGAGTGCAAAGGGAATGGGTCAGCCCTGCTGTGGAGCAGACAGCCTGGCCCAACCCAGCCCAGAGAGCATGCTGGGATGCTGGGGGACTCTGGTTTAACTCAAACCAGTTTATGCAACGTCTGTTCCAGATCCCTTGCTGGTTTGAGTCAAATCAGTTAAGTCTGATACTACATTATCTCAGACTGGTTTCAGCCATTTTCAAGCTGGTTTATGTGCACTGGACATCTGTTCTGTTACAGGTTTAAACCAGTTTCTGATCACTTAAACCAGCTTATGTGTAATATCTGTTCCAAGCCAAAGAGTTTTAATACTATTAGAGGGCCCATACCACAGTATGGCAAGCAGCTCCCCTTTTCCCTCCTGAATGTTCACAAGCATTAATATCGACATGCACACCCACATAAACACAATAACTGAATGGAGTTTGATTGTCCTTCTGTTTTCTTTTTCTACATTCTACTTCACTGAACACTGCACCCATGGAAAGGTATTATTATAAGTTAGCTTTGTATACCTGCCCACTTCATGCAGAGATGTCATACTCCTTTTTGCAAACACATGCATCAAAATTTAAGTCAGAGAGATCTGATGCCACAAAATCAGTCCTATCATAACATTCAAAATAATAAATATGCTGTTCTGAGACCTTAGGAGGACTGAGAGGAAGACTAATATCTACACAATAGCAGTGAGTACCTCAGGAAAAATCAAGATATGATAGGGACTCTGTCAGGAAGAAAGAAACTAAAGAAAGAAATGAAAGACTTCAGTAGAAGAATAAGAGGCACAAAATAATTTAAGCCAAGGAGGAGGAGGGAGGCGGTCATTGTGCAAAAGTATGGAAGCGGCTGTTATGGCTCAACAGAGCAATGTTGATTGCATTTATGTGGTATAGCTCTATAAAAGTTGATGATGTAACCCAGAGCCAAAATAAACTTCTTTTATCCAGAACTGAACTAATAATAGCATGGCTGATGAGGCTTTAGTTATGAGTTACTGCCTCCTCTAATATTTTACAGGGTAGCATCCGTTTATACAAAAGATTATATTCTCTCATTTAGTAGACCTTTAAAGTCACTATCACCTTTACTGTTTTTTCCCCCTCTTATATCCAGTACTACTTTTCTTACCTTTTAAAATGCTTCACAGATCCAAGTTCCCCCAATATTTTACAGATTACATATGTTGCCCTGAGGGGTCAGGCCAATGCTCAGGATCTGAATATTGCACTGTTAGACAGAAGGGCGTGGTATACAACTACACATGCACACATAAAATCAATTAAGCACACACTCACTAGGTGCATACACCCCTATTAGGCATATACACTCATACTACCAGCTCAGGCATATACACTATACACCCCAAAAGTTAGACACAGAGCGCTAATTCGTATATCATGCACACAATGCCATATATATACACACATACACCCCCACACATGGAACTCAGATACATGCACGTTCAAAATAATGTG